AACTTTTTAAATCCATTCCAAAGTGAAAGTGTGAGTAACATGTAATACAGCGCACCACAAGAAGAAAGTAGTTAAATGAACATGAAAAAAGTCAAAAAGATTTTTAATTATCTGTAATTATCTACGGTGACCAGTGGGTGACAATGATTGTTGCCAAATAATAATGAAGTCCATCATAAAACAGTCTAAATTTTGGCAAAAAGATCAATATTAATGCATTTATTGTTTAGAAAATCTTTAAAAAGTTCTAAAACTATTCCTGGAAAAGTTATAGTTTATGTTTTTGGTCTGTGGGGGGAAACTGGAGTACCCGGAGAAAACCCACACATGCATGGAGAAAACATGTAAACTCCACCCAGAGGGGGATTTGAACCGGGGCGACCTGCTCGCTGAGAGACGGCAGCTCTACCAACTGCGCCACCGTGCCGCCCCTATAAGATGAAACTATTCAAATTATCAATGAATTCTCAGCTGAATATTTCCAGGATCTAAATGGGTAAAGATCATCAAAACCAAAATTACCTCAATTCATGGAAAGTCCCACACATAATAATTTGAATGATGAATGCAATATAAAATAATAAACCAGCCATTCAGTTTACTTTGGAGTTAATAAAGTCATGAAAATGACAATGTCATGGGTAAATGTTTGTCATCTTCAGCCAGGTATTTTCAGTATCGTTCAAATAAAACAGAAAGTTATCATAAAATGAAAAAGCCTAACTAAACAGAGCAAACCAACAGTGTAATTATTTTAAAACATAAAATCTCACTTCTAAAGTCGGACTAATTGAATCTAAGACCTTTAACTCGTACAATAAGTCCCACAGCTTTGTCTAACTCACAAACATACTCAGGATGTTCTACACAGACATTAGGATTTCTTTGGTGCATTGAGAAATGAAATCACATCAGTCATCAGTGTAAATCAAAATTCATTGACAAATGAATGAAAAAAAAAACTTTTTCTCCTTGACTGCACTTTGTTTGCCTAATCTGCAAACGCGTGAGAGTTAAATGTGTCATATTTGCTGCAAACCGCACGTGTACTGGACATCGAAAACTGGGAATGTCACATGCAATCTCTCTCTCTTCTGTCTTTTCTCTCGTTACAGTATTCACCCAACATGACGATGAGTGTGTGATTTTATTTTTTTGTTTTATTTTTTTTTAGTTCTTCATCTCCTTTTATCTGAATCTGTTCCTCTCCTACTACCCTGTGTCTTGCATCCTCCTTTTCTTCCTCCTCCTCTTTGTGGATGGTGTGCCATGCAGCTCCTGGGGATTGCCCTGGAAGGCGGGACTTCCCTTAAGGCCCCACGTCTCACTACCTGTAAACTAGGTGTAAGAGCATGAAACGGTCTCCAGTCAGCAGAAAGGACCTCCTCGCTTCACCTGCTGGGATTCATCAAGGGCCCACAGGCAGTGACAGCCTCCCCCCTGACCCAGAAACTTTTCCTGTCGGCAGGCGGCTTTCAGGCTCAATCAAGATCATCCTCTTCAATTAGGCGTCCCCCACTACGATGCCATTCTTTTAAATCAAGAGGACACGCTGTTGTTGACTCACATGGACGGAGAACCATCATTTACTCTGCTCCTGTGGCGAGATGAACTGATAATTGCATTTTAGAGCAAGAAGGACTTGGTACATTTTTTTTTTTTGTAGATGATATTGTTGTTCTAATTTACATAACTGTTGTTATTCTGCTAATCTAGTTATGATTTACTGCCAATTTTGTCTCAGCAGCATCAACAATGACAAAAGAAGCACACATTTGAGAATGCACAATGACTTTCTGTTTACATGATTTGAGGTTTTTTTTTATTTATTTATTTTGGCACATTTTGGGCACCTCTCTGTGAAGCTGTCCCTCAGTGTACTTTGGCTCTTTCCATCCTAAATGCTTTTCCTTAAACTCTCATAAGGAGTGCAGTTGGGTTTCCAGTGAGGTGTTTATATCTGAAGAGACGAAGTAGAGGGCTGACGTCTAATGCACGTGGCCGATCAGCTGTTTATCTGCCTTGTCTTGAAGAAATAAGCCCTGATGCAGCTGGAACTGGAATCTGGTGACACAATAAGTCGACCGTAAGGAGCTGCTTCACCTTCGGTAACAGACAGAGAGCATTTTGTGATTTGTTCTTGTCTGTAAATGCAACAAAATTAGCTTGTATTGTGTTTTTTTTTTTTAATATTTGTTATTTACGACTTGTTTGTGAATCCGAAAATGTTCTCCTTCCCGTTTCTTGACTCCAGAGGGGCAACGTTTTCCCCCCCAGGATTCATTTGGAGCTCTTTTGGACTGGCAGAGAGCTTGTGGGACTTCCTGACTCATTCTTGGAGCTGACTTTTTGTCTTTAATTCATTACGATGTGTCACTTTCAGACAAAGTGTACTAAATTACCATCTCCAAGGAGTTGCTGTTTGCTGCTCTCCCCTAAGAAAGACCCTCGTGGATGGTGGCTAAGGGACTCGGGGGTACTCGGAGTGACGCACCTAGAG